TACTGAACAATGTACCGACTAGAACAAGTCAAATTTAGGAACTAGGTGAGAAAGAAACAAAAGAAGTTAACGGTGAACATTTAAGAAAAAAATGCATTTTTGGTCAAAGTATTTATAGATATTCACTTATGTCTAAGCCAGAATATAGATGTCAATCAGAGTGACACGAAAATGTTTATATCTTGAGTTTACGTTTATTTATTTATTACCTTTGGGTTTATTGTCTCAGTTCTGTGTAAAAATGAAAGACGCTAAATGAATACAAACTCCTAGGAAAAAATGAAATTTCTCTATCAGCTTTATCATTAATTTTCATTACGATTTAATTGATTTTTTTATACTATTGTTCATCCAATATAAGAATCAAGAGCCGTTCAAGATACAGAGATTTACTGAATGCGATTGTTGTAAGGGCGTAAGTGGAGGAAGAATGAAGTGGATATTATGAGGATATGTAGGATAGGCAACGGTTGATCCTAGACTTCAAAATGATTAGATTATAGTGATTGCGGAAGCATCCCCTCGGGAGACTGCTCCACAAACAGACTCTATGGAAGAAACTGTCAGAGTGAATTTTCCAACTTACCAAAGAAATACGGAAATGAGGATGATTTGACGATGTGTACGTAATGTGGTCGGTCTTTGCTGTGAAGGTCTGAACTGTTGGATATAAGGGATATAGCTTGTCTGAACAGTTTTCACAGAAATAGGGAGAGGGTAGAAAGAGGATATCAACATTTCGTCAGGGGGAAACATCCTCTCGGGAGAATGACCCACAGAGAGACTCTGAGGAAGAAACTGTCTGAATGACCAAAGAAATGAGGAAATGAGGATGATTTGACGCTGTGTACGTAATGTGGTCAGTCTTTGCTGTGAAGGTCTGAATTGTTGGATATAAGGGATATTGCTTGTCCGAACAGTTTTCACAGAAATAGGGAGAGGATAGCAAGAGGCTATCAACATTTTGTCAGTGGGGAAGAGGTTGCATGGTGGAAATATAATTTTATTTGTTGAAATTAGTGTCTATAATTTAGGGAAAAGAAGACGAATTTTCGAGAAACCACCGTCCAGCGGCACAGACATTAGATTTTGACGCATGTTGACAGTTAACCAAATGTCGCAAGTCAATCAGTCAGGTATGTGCCATGCGTGATACTCGCTTAGGCGATCAAGTATCTTTCGATACATAACTGACAAGGCAGATTTTTTTTTCCCGCAGTAGGTTGCTGTTTCTTTCTGCAATAGACTACTTGTCATCCAAGGCTATAGAACCCAGTCTCTCCTGCTATTTACTCATAGCTGGTGGTGAGGATTCATAATGATATAATGGAATATGCATACACCTGTGTTCCCCCTCACTGGAATATGATTGGCTGGTGTCCGTCATAAATACCGACGGACGTGTAGGAGAGTCAAAGTGCCTTTGTCTGAGAGCTAAGTCTATAACGATGCCCATTGGACTAGGCCATTGATCTACACTTCTTACCTGCAACTACGACGCGTACCAGTCGATTATTGCTACGATATTCTACTTGGTTATAGTAGCCAAAACCACTTAGCTACTTCGTTCAAATATATCCCTTTCCGGGACATATCACATAACTTCCCCAAGGGTATTAAGAAGTAGAGATTTTCCAAGCGTAGCTTAGATGTGGCACAAGACCGAAAGCATGGGGCACCCAGTGAGGATCGAACTCACTGCTCAGGTTGTAATTGTTCTAGCGAGACAAGCTTGCTAACCATTATACCACCTCGAGGTATTAGCAAGTAAGTGAATGTAATAGATTCAACTGGAATTCGAACTCGTTTCTCCTATTCCTCAATCCAAGACGCTATCCACTACCCCCACCTGTTGTAAGAACTATTCCTAATTAGACTAAAAGCAGCGGCAATAATATATTGCACATGTAAATGAAGGGTGAAAGGAAATTGAAGGGCTTTCAGTAAGTCGATATTTCATATTTTTGTTTTTATATAACTGTGTAAGCTTTCTAACCATAGAAATACATTACTACAGATGCAACATGAACAATATATTGATTAGGAACAGTGTGCTTGTGTGTTAAAGTTCATTCTCTAAGGCAGTGTTTCTCAACCATTTTTTTTACTTCAGGGCGCTATTGTTGAATAACTAAAACTCTGAGTCATGAAATTTGGTAATAGGAAAATAAAAAAGAAGTCTCTTGAAATAAACATTTATTTTTAAGACATTATATATTTAAGTATGCTTGTGTGAAACCAGTACTTTGTTAATTGTTGAAGCCCCTTACGAGATAAACATGTATTCATATCATCATCAGTGCATTTGATCTATTTCTGCATCTAATGTTCCTAAGTGTAGAAAGTCTTGATTCATAGTGGTATGATATGGAAAATTGTAATAAAATATTCAACACTTTAGTAGCTATGAAAGGATATTCTTATTCAATGGAAATCTAAAATAGATCAATGGATACCTCTTTATACTTGATCATACTTTATACTTGATACCTCTTTATACTTGAGATGTAAGCCACGATCAACAAATATAGTGAACAGTTCCTCTCCTGTTAGGGATAAAACAACGTCATCTTTTGAAACGCCAATTGACTCAGACATGGAAGCTATGTACTTAGTGTCTCTAGTTTTTAAAAAATATTTTTAAAATTTAAAAATAATCATAAATTACTCTTCCGTTAACTTGAGGCGCTCCTGGGTACCTTTCAGGGAAAATTAGCGCATCCGTGTGCACCGGTTGAGAAACGCTGCTGTAAGGCCATGTTCGAAAGCACTAAATCATGTTGGGAAGAAAAAAAAAAGAGAGAGAAGGGGATGATGACAGAAAGGGTCTCGTTTTTAGACAACGCCACCTAACGAGTTTTTTGGCGAGACTGACCAAGCTATGTAAAGGTAACACACAATTTTGACGGAATTTATGTGTCTCGAAGCTTACAATGAGTAAAAAATATTTTTTTATTGAACGCGCTCTCCATATTAAGCTTTCGATCACATTCCAAACAAACAGCAAAAGTTATTCAAACCGCCTTTTATTCTGCATGACTTTTCCAATTCCTTTAAGAATCCAAAAATAAATATCAGCTGAATGTTTCTCTAATTTTTATTAAACGAATTATTTTAAGCTGTTATTATTAATTAATATATAAGTTAATCTTTTGAAAGTAAATCTAAGTTAAAATTAACTATGACGGTTGACCAATGCTTCATCCAAATAAAGAAACAAAATAAAAATAATATTTCTGATATTAATATTGCCGGTGTAAAAACAAAAATTGACGTACTGTTAAAGATCGTGGTATGAAATGGAGTTTTAATGGTTACATCTAGTTTTCCGCAAAGCCGACAATTTCTCGTAGCTTAGCAAGCAGAGAATCTGGGAATTTACCAGTTGTCTTTGGTACAAATGTCCCGTGTTCGAATCTCACCAGCCGATCATACTTCTGATCCGCATCGTGTAGTTGCCGCTGTAGAATTGATACCCTTGGTAAATCTATGCCTTAAATGTAAATAATAACAGTTATAGATATATGCGGTTTCATTTGTGTCAAAATATTGTGATACGACTATTTGAATACCAATCATCTAAAATTTTACTTTTAATTCGAATAAAATAGTCTAAATTATGTAACAAAATATATTATTCGTGTAGAGGATAAAACCAAAATGCAGAAATTTACATTGTTTGAGCTGTTAACATCTTTCTTCTAGTTCCACGTGTCATGCCTCTTCCGGATATCTCGATTCCAGTTATTTTCATTTTGTAATTCAACTCTCCAAGTTTTTGTCCACCTCTGCTGTGGCCAGGTATTGAACTCACAATTCTTTGCATCATGTCACTGGATTACTTCAACCAACGATTTTATCCACTGGCCCATATGAATTTTTGTGACTAATAAAACAATTGTTTCAGTGAACATATTTTTACCATAGCTTATATTACGATGTGTTGTTATTATTATTTTTCTCTAGCACCCTGTATTACTTGTCCACATATTGTATTCATATCTATGCTTGGTCAACTAGGGAGATTTTTGAAGCATAGCATATGCACTGAAAACGGAGAGTTTACTTACTAAAGGGAAATAACTGAAATTGAGTTATCCGGAAGTGGCATGACACGTGGATCTAGTGGACGAAATAAAGATTTCGAATCGAAATTACAATTACTGAAGAAGGCAGAAACGTCATGAATGCAACAACAAAGATTAAAACAATATTCCGAACAATGTAAATAATGTAAATAGTTTCAATATCTAATTTCGGAAATATAGACAGAAAATGTAGAAGATGTGAATTTCTTTTTTTAAACGGTTCATTGAAAGCAGCAGTCTCCTATAATATCCTCCTTACTTTGCACATGCCGGGTAGTGCTTATCATCTCACAGTTGCCTCTCTGTCTTCAAGCAGAGTGCCACTTAGGGTCGACTCCATCGGAGGACAGAGGGCTAACTGAGGAAAATAACACTGAGATGTGCCCAGCCCCTGGGAAGAGTTAACCGATGCTTCACTCTCTCATTGCACTTGAGTGAAGGATCGGTGCTCCTCTCCGTGACAAGCTGAACTGACTGTTGCGGGGCTTGGGGAATGTTTGTCCTTGGCCTGAGTGTACGCGATCGGGTTCTCCATATTAAACCCGACCTTATGTCACCTCCCGTCTCAGTGAGGAGACCAGGGTAAAATCGTACAATAATATCGTTTAATATCTACTATAAACTACTTTCATTGATTCATTCATTCATTCGTTTTCTACTGCTTGCCAACATTTTGTTGGTTATTTAATGCCAGAAAATTAGATTGTTAGAATTCTTTTTTAGATAATAATGATTTGGTGATACAAATATTGCTAATTAACCCATAAATGGAGGAGAAGAGGTGTATTAATACATTCTTTTTCAAAGTTAATTGCGCGTAATTGAATATAACAAACCCAATGAAAATTAGAACTCCGTTCTCCGATTAACAATTCCGAGCCATTTTCAATAACACCACTCGCACATCCATGTTTACAGCACCTGATATTCCAAAGCGATTACCCATCTAGGTACTGACAGGCCCCGGTGTTGCTTAACTTCAATGATTATACGGGAACCCGTGTTTCAACGTGATATGACTGTAGGCTTCAAATACTTTGATATAATAGTAATATTTCTTGTATTATTTCAATTCCATATATTAAATATTAGCATACTGCGTATGTTCCTAAATTGCTTACGGGGTTCAAAGTATTGTAAACAGATAAGATTATTATGTGTTCGGTGGAAATAAACAATTATGACGATAGGCAAGGCTGACGGTTGGCCTTGGAATTTTCATTGGTGAGGCAGATAATGGAGAATAAGCGATGTGAATTCGTATCATGCCGGAGGTTTATTTATATTTCATATACGTTGTCTGTTAATGATCGTGAAATGATTGGTACGGAAGTTGCGATGAAGAACAGCAGAAATTAAATGAGAGAGATTTTTAGGAAAAATTATTAATAATTAACTGCTCTTATTTTAGGCATCTTTATTTACATTATATGTATTTTTGGTTGTTTACCTTAAATTCCTCATGTATTATTTTCACAATGCTCACTGTATTATATGAATATCTGAAAATAGTAGCCGTATACGGCTAGAAACATTGAGATAAAATCAATACTGCTAATGGTAATATAAAGCGTTTATCAGCAATCACTGACCGAGCAGCTAGTGATACTCTCTGTTGCAATTTATAAACGTTTTATATTAAAACACGTCTATTAATTGCTATTGCTCCTTCTTGTATTAATGAGGTTTTCAGTTATAAGCTTTCTTCTATGTAGATTAGAAAAGTCAAAATCTTGATTATGTCATTATGTTCTCTTCGATTAACATATGTTTTGTGATCTCAAAGAACACTTGTTGCTACTTTTATTACGTCAATGAATACTCGAATTTCGTAATTCTCGTTGTAGTAGAGACTTTGCAATCGAAGATACAGCTATAGTAACGTCGTTGAACAATACTGGTGTCAGACGCCTTCGAATATCACTCTCACTAATAGTACTTGCTCGATAATACTCGCTCGAATGTAACCACCATAGAGATCCGAGTAGAGTAGATAAGAGAATAGAGGGTAGCAGCTCGTATAGTAATAGAGGATAGATGAGAAATAGCGATCGTTAGTCGTCAGCTATTTCAAACATATATGGTTTTCCTCTATATTCCCGTGGTCTACTTAATTCAATAATGGGATCGCCTGTCTTTGCTCACTGGCGATCTATGTTCAAACTCAAGTGTCGGCAGCGACACTGTATTCCAATATAACAATGTGACATTCATTTTAGGGGTTGCCGCTGTTGAAATTCCTAAAATAATGTGGTTATTTGCTACGGTTTTTTGTTCGTGATCCAAGAGCGCCAGACAACGAGCTTCACAAAAGGGTCGCAAATTAAGAAGTAAAGAGGCAAGTTTATGACGATATATGGGGAAGATAATGGTTAGCTCTACATTTGAATAGGTTAATATTGTAGTGATCGCAAAACCGAAGATGCATCCTCTTGGGCGACGGTTACACAAAGTAGCCGTTCTAGGAAAGGAGCTGTTCGACCAGAACTTCTCAATAATGAAATACGAAGGTAATGAAGGTGGTTAGGTGATGAAGGGCATGACGTGAAGAGTCGTAGGCGTGAAGGCTAGAACTAGTTGAAACTAAAAAATATAGTTCGCCTGAATATTATCCATGGAAATAGGCTTACGGTCAAATCACGCTGAAACACCGGTTCTCGTACGATCACCGAAGTTAAGCAGTGTAGAGCCAGGTCAGTACTTAGATGGGGGACCGCTTGGGAACACATGGTACTGTAAGCCCCCAAAGTCCAACCCTTACCTCACAGTCGGTGGGGGGGTGTAAACGGTAGTGTCAGAGCTATGCCGCCCGGAACTTCGTTCCTGGTAGGGCCACCCAAGGCGGACAGGTCTGACACGCCGGCTAACAAGGGCTCTGGTGAAAATCCAAGGAGCGTCTGTATCGGTAACCGGCGGCTTCTGGTCGTTCCTGTCTCTGCGTCTGTGAGAACCCCGCGGCAAGCAAGAACGTTATCCGAGTAGGCCTGGGTACCCTACTTCTGTAATTTATCCCAAGAATCTTCTTCTCATAACAGGAAGAAGCCGGCTCAATCCGCCCAGGGTGAATGCCGCATCAGTACAGTAGTAGTAGTAGTATCCATGGAAAGAACGATATAATTGTGAGTAGCTTGCAATGCTTCGTCTGTGGCAAGGGGTTATCGGATGAAAATAATTTATCACACAAAAGACCGTATAAATGCTATTGGACTCTATAGACTTTATAGCTTCTTTTCATATATGATAGCAGCGCTCCAATTTTGGCGTGGTCTGGCTTTAATAGAGGGTATGTAATGCTGATACATCCCGAGCAATTCATGTTACGTACCCTTCTCGCAGTGGGTCTTTAAGTCCACACATATGAGCGAGCTGATTTCATCAGACTAATCGTCGGAAATAAAGAACGAAATAATGAATTTTACCATTCTACAGAATTTTGTTTTTTTTTTTATACCGAAATTTATTTATATATCATATTCTCTCAAAATGTATATATCTCTCTATATATATTTTTGCGTGCGTAACACTTTGAGTGAGCTCTGGTTACACAGTATGATATTAAGTAATGTGCATAGATACTCTGATCTGAGGCCAAAGTTCCGAGCTTTTGTATTCCATTGTTGTTTTAGCGGGGGGGGGGGTAAAGAGCTTCACTTTTTTGAATATCAATATAAATATAATTTCGTAGTAAGTCCCATGTATTTTCAATAACTATCGTAGCTTACTACTGCCGCCACCACCAACAAAAACAACAACAACGACAACAACAACAACAACTTCTTCTTGCTGTGTCCTTTCAGGACGCGGGCAAAAATTGTTCTGCCTGAAAGCAAAGCCTCTGAACTGAAGATTGGATGTTTTGTCGAGCGTGGAGCCAAACTAAACACTATGAAAGTATAAACATACATATTTATGATGAAGGTGCCAGCAATACATTTTCTTTATAAAAAAAAAATTAACAATACATATTTAGAGTAAAATTAACAAAAATATAATTTATTGCAAAATTCACAGCACCACATTTTATAGTAGAATAATCAACAATACATTTTACAAAAAAATGACCAACAATACATTTTATCTCTAGTTGATACTATAATTTTTTTTTCGAAATATTTAGATTTCGACATTAGATAACCCATAGAGGTTAATATGCCGCTAAGCAAAATCAACGAACCAACCTATGAAAATTAAATTTCCGGGCTGATATAACTTTAAAAAACAAATCAAATCAAATATTTGCACAATTTCCCGTTGTTTGTCGCCCTTAAGAAAATTATTCTGTTGCTTTTTTTCTGCTATATCTTCTAATCGCTGTTCTATCATCCATGGGGGGTGGGGTCACGTGTTCAGAATGCCTCCCACTCGACTCCCGCGTATCATCATGTTTGAAGAACTTAGCAGTGGCAAGAGGCTACGTGGAGTCCCAAAACGAGACTTCAAGGATCTGTTGAAAACAGTAGTGACACAGGCCAGCACCGACCCTGAGACCTAGAAACCGTCGCTGCAAATCAATTTTTCTGGCATAAGACCATTCGAAGGTGACACAGACTTTCGAGACCAACCGTCAACATGAAGAGTGTCTGCGACGTGCTCTCAAGAGTGTCCGATTCACCCAGCCGCGTCCACCATCCACATTCGTCTGCGACTCATGCTCATACCACTTCAGGTGCAGGCCTGGACTTCGCAACCATCCCCGCCGCCGCCGCCAATGACGATACCCATGAGAGCGGGTACCGATGACGTGATCCATTTACACAAGTTTGTTAGGTACGTCATGTGCAACTTTCCTCTGTCGCCCTTCCCTTCAATATATTTCTCTTACTGAATTCATTCTGACCATAAATATAGCATTCCTTATTCCAGTGACTTTAATCAAACCGTCTTGTTCTTGTCTTATTTCTCGGTAACTTACTCTTCCGAAAACTAACAAAGGACCCTCTAAAATCGTCTAAAATTTTCTATGTAGCTTTCAATATAAACATTTCTACCAGCCAATTCACTTGACTCTTACAGTAACAGTCTTACGGCCGCATCTAATTGAAACACCGTCTACCGTACAATAACCGACGACGTCGAGTCGTGTTAGTGCCTATAAGAGTAACCGCTTGTGCGGGTGGTGTAATAAGTAATAGCTTGGAAGTGTTAATCGGAGAGCCGAGTTCCAATTCCCGTTGGGTTTGTTAAATTCACTTACTCGCGCAAATTCCCTTGGCAAGAGTTTTGATTCGCCCTTCTCCCCATCTATGGGTTAATTATTAAGATTCGTATCATTAAAAGATTATTATCCCAAAAAATAATCCTTACATTCGAAAAAATTATTTTATGGTTATCAATATCCTGCAAAGTATTGATAAGCCGTAGAAAATGAATCATCCAATCAATTATTGGAACACTTCATTATGAGAGGTTCTGATACGCGTGTTCCTACCATTTTTCCTAGTTTATAAGATAGCATGATAGTGCTTAAGCGTTTTTGAAGATCAAGACTTCTTTAGTATAGGGTTTCAGAAAGAACACTAGTGAATCATCAAATTGGTGTAGAAATAGCGATGCAGTAACATTTCTCGCTCAATCATTAAGGTTCGTACTTGTAAGTTTCTTTGCCAAAACCGTCGACCTCCAGAGGCGTCAACAAGATGGAAAAAATATGATCAAAGGACGTTTGTAATATTTTTTTTCTTTTATCTGTATATCTTGTTTCCAGTAAAGACTTCAATAAGACAAAAATGATAAGATCAAAAGTTATTAAAAAAAACAACTTTGGCTTGAAGATAAAATAAATATGAATTACAGATGAAAAAGGTTATTACATTTACATTTAGATTTGTATTCTGTCGCTTTTATCTTTGAGAAATGTGTACTAATTGTTAGTTCTTTGAGGCTAGAAGTAAAGTCAGAGCGCTAAATATATCAACACACACATGCACACATATGCACACACAAACATACACACGTACACATAAGATGCAGATGACGTCACCCTTAGCAGAATTAAATTCTAATTCCAGTAGACTAAAAACGTTG